CCAGGCAGCAAAGATTGTCTTTCACAGCAATTGAGATGCAAATAATCTGCCTCAGCATCACTCCTTCTTCTCCTACAACTAGTAGTAGGTACGGTGCCAGAATGCTGAGTCTTAACATTATATTATTGTAATATATTTTTGTGTATAGTGGTCTCTTGTCCTTATATGAATGTCAACCTTGAATTGTCTTAATATCAACATTTTATAAACGGAGCACTAATGTTTCCCTCTCCACAGAACTTATAGACTTTAAAACTAGAAGAGTTGCTGCATTCCGGAAGAATTTAGTAGAACTGGCAGAATTGGAACTGAAGCATGCTAAGGTGGGATGCTGTTTTCCTTACCATTTAAGCACTTTGCAACATAAAAGTCCTGGATGGTAAAATATGTTTTAGTACAGGCGTGTGGCTCATACAGGTCTTCAGATGTTCCATCAACCTTAGCCAGCATATTCAGTTCTTTGCCACAAAAAAAAAATCAGTATGGTGTAGACCATCACCAATACAGAGTGTCTCTTTTTCATTTACAGAATATAGGAGATTTCAGTCTGAAACAATGACAAAACTACTCTGCATTTTAATTGAGTGTGCAATCCTGAATATATTTAATGGTACATTTTTCTGAATAAATTGTAAGATAATAGATGTAGCAATGAAACTAATTGATAGATTCATGCACTAGTAGTGTAATAAATCTACATTTATCACACCCCTTTTCATGGAGAAATTTAAATACATCACAACTGTACCCTTGGTTCGTTCCTGATACGATAAATAAAAATAAATAAGAACTAAGACTGCCTTTTGCATGATGAAGTAGATCCTTATTGTCTGCTTCATTGACTTGCTGACTGAAGGAGACAGGATCATTCTGGCCTTCTAGGGAGTCTGGGAGCAGCCACTAAGAAGGCCTCTCCATTGTTTCCACCAAACAAACCTGAGAAGATGGTGGGACAGAGAGAAGGACCTCTACAGACAATCTTAGACCCCGTCTATACTGCCATACAATGCAGTTCAGAGCTTTCATGGGCTCATGAAGGGAGGTATAGTTCTTCAGATTCCCTGAGCCCATTCATAGAGATCAAAGGTCATAAGATTCAAGCCGGCTCATAATGGAAGATACAGTCTTTCAAATAGTCTGCATCCATACTCTATAATGCTTTGTAGTTATAATTTGAATGTAATTGTTCCGAGAAACAGAGCAGTATCTAATGAAGCTGTTTCAACAAGCAAGTTGCATGTTCCCACAATGTTGATGGAACATATATCTCTAGAGGGTTTTGATGCAGCAGATCCTGAAAGTTCAAAATACAGGAAGTTATTGAAAGCTGCTTTTCTGAGACAACCTTGCCTCTGTCGTGCCTCTTGAACGTTTTAGTGCCACTTTGAGGGAGCATTTGTTAGAAGATCAGCATACATCCAACACCTCACTGTCCTTTGAGAATCCTTCCAAAGAAATTAGGGGTATTCCCATAAAAACACCATCCAGCTATTTATGATACAATAACTGCATCTTCATTCAGTATTCTAGATTTTGTACCTGAGAAGACCATGCCATGTACTAACGTGTTTTTGTTCTTTTTGCCACATCAGGGTAACTTGCAGCTGTTGCAAAGCTGTCTGGCAGTGTTAAATGGAGATACATAAACCAGAATCTATCCTTCCATTAACAAGGGCTGCCTTCTGCTGGAGTTTACTTTACGACTTTGAATTGGGATCTGGTTGAAAAAGGACACATAAAACAAGCTCCTCTTTTTTTCTTTAAAAAACATAAGCCCACCAGAGTAATTCCAGATAATATGAAGCAACAGCATATTTGTTGTTACACATGAATAGTCGCACATTAATTTAATCACTGTATGCTCTTATTGTTCAGAAAACCAAACATTCTTCTCTCTGTCTGTCTCTTTTTTTTGCGTGAAAGTAGCCAATAGAATTATGTTCTCATTTGGGGCTAGTATTAAATATTGCTGCCATTCTTATTTTACTACCTTTGTAATTTCTGAAGTTGGTTTGAAACAAATTGTTTCAAATTGATTAAATATTGCCACTAGGTGTTTGAATATTGTTGCTATAAAGCACTGTATTTGTTATTCCACATAATGTTATTGAGCATTAACTTTTTTTCTGAATAACAAACATTTCCTAGACATTTTGGAGCAATCTTTATGTAATCTTTATAATAAGACTTCAAAAGAAAAGCAAATGCATTAGTATGTTTGCCTTAAATTGTAGACTAATCCTGATTATTGTAAAATAAACTGTGAAATCAGTGACTTTTTCCTAAAATGCTATAGCATTGTTATCATTGTCTTGTAATTTTAAAGTGAGTGAATTTGTATTGTTTTTATTTTATATTCAGTTTTTTGTGTTTTCATAAATACTGACTACATAATCCAGTGTATATATCTAGAGCCCATATGCTACCCCCATCACTATGCCAGTGGACTTTAACCCATACAGTGGAATAATCCCTTTCTCCCAGGTTGTTAATGTCCTTGTTCATATTATGATGAAGAATCATAGAATCATAGAAGAGTGGATGTCTTCAGGGGGAAGGATACTTTGATGTCTCTTAATCAGTCCATTTCACTACAGTGAATAAGCAGGTCTTATAGAATTTCTCTGAAACCTGTCCTGCACTTCTGTGGTTCCTAGTTTAGAGAAATACATTTCAAGACACTTGGACTTCAACTTTAAAACAAGAGAAATATTTATGAAATCTTCAGTGTAGGTTGTGAGTGGAATTTCCAGACTTAGGGAAAATCGGAAAGCAGAAACCCCACATCTCAAGAAGCTGAAAAATGTTGTGAAGTATCTCAAACACTTTATGGATTTCGGCGTACTTTTGAAGGAATGTAAAACAAGACAAAGATAGAAATATGCAATTCTTCAGTTAATGTGTGCTGCTTATCAAGTAATGATTTTTAAAATCTCCACAAATTTCTGATCAGTAAAAATAATTTATTGGTTATTGAAAATGTGAGTTTATGAGATGTCAGAATGATTATAATAAATGATTTTTTGAATATTGGTGGGGAAGGAGACAAATAGAATACAGTGTCTGAAGAATGTTTTAACAGTATAAGATACTGTTAAAGAAGAAAACATGACTGGGTTTTTGAAATCCTCCCAATATTAGTACTAATTGATGTTTCGTACATCTTTCACTCATATTAAAAATTCACGAGTTTTAAGATGTTTCCTTTTTCCTCCAGCTCAAGATACCCACATTGCAGTTGAATGTCATCACTTATTCTAAAATCTAATAATAACATTTTCAGCCTACATGTCATGTGCTTTCTATTGCCAGTAAATGATACTGGATTTATTGTGACTATAATGCAGCTTTAAAACCAGCTGAAAGGAATTGTGAGTGTTGAACTCCAAAACACTTGGAGGGCCAAAGCTTGCCCATACCTGCTCTAAGGTGCTACAAGATCCCTTTGCACATTGATATTCCGTACTGATGGTGCTATGTCTTTAAATGCTCCCACATAGTTCTTTCACAAATTTCATTACTAATGTCAATACAAATTGAGCATCCTTTCTCTGAAATGCTTGGAGCCAACAGTGTTTTAGATTCCTATTTTGAGATTTTGGGATACCTGTATTTGCATATACATACATAATCTTAGAGATGGAACCCAAGTTTAGGCACAAAATTTGTTTGTTTCATACACACTTAGCCTGAAGGTAAATTTATAAAATGGGTTTAATAATTTTGCGAATGAATCAGAGTTTGTGTACATCGAACTATCAGAAAGCGAAGGCCTCAGCCACTCATACGGACAATTTTGGATTTGGAGTATATCAGATTTCAGAATTGTAGAAATGATGTAGTTGTGGAGAGGCCTTTATGCTTATGGAAAATGGTCTAGAGTAAACATTTGTTTCCTAATTTATTGAATGCTTCATTTCATTATTTGAATGCATGAATTCATTAACTATTACTAGCAAAATCAAAAGCTGGTCGACAACAAGTGCCAGAATGACATGTCTGTGTCTTTTAAAGATTAAAGGAGGTCACAACTGCCCCTCTGGTAAACCCTGAGTAAAAATGTTGGCAAAATGAATTCCCTTTGCTGAGGTCTGTGCATTCTAGTGTATACATTTACTTTCTCCACAGAAACATCAGAGCAAATTTTGTTTAAAAAAAAAAAAGGTAATGCAAATCGGATCATTTCTGAATTTAGATCTCCAAATTCCTATAAAACTGATTTTTTTTTAATTTAAAGTTTTTGGGTTGTATGACCATGTTCCAGAAGCATTCTTTCCTGACATTTCACCCACATCTGTGGCAGGCATCCTTAGGTTGTGAGGTCTGTTGAAAAGTAGGCAAGTGAGGTTTATATATCTCTGAATTGTCCAGGGTGGGAGAAAGAACTCATGTCTGTTGGAGGCAAGTGTGAATGTTGCAGTTGGCCAGCTTGATTAGCATTGAATGTCCTTGCACAGCTTCACAGCCTGGCTGCTTCCTGCCTGGGAATGTCCAGGGTGGGAGAAAGAAGTCTGCTTGAGGCAAGTGTGAATGTTGCCACCTTGATTATCACTGAATTTTTTCCCTGCTTCTTGGCAGGGGTTGGGCTGGATGGCCCATGAGGTCTCTTCCAACTCTGAATGGCCTTGCAGCTTCAAAGCCTTTGTTACAGGCCTTACAACCTCTGAGGATGCCTGCCATAGATGTGGGAAAAGCGTCGGGAGAGAATGCTTCTGGAACATGGCCATACAGCCTTAAAAACGCACAGCAACCACTTAACTACTATGGAATAAAATTCCAGGGTGCCATAGTAGTGAGACATGGCTGTTAAAGTCGTGTGAAACTATACTAAAAATCCGAATTATGGCAAACTACAGTATTCTGGCTAATTTATTTCTTAAAACGCACAACCCTAAGAGAGCTGGCGCACAAGAAGCTGCAAAGGAACGAACCGCACTGCTCACACAATTCCCGGCCGGACTCATTAGCCTGTCGGACCACTTCCGGGCTTAGCCGAAAGTGAGGGAAGAGTTTCCTGCCTTACGGAAGTCGAAGGGGATTGTGAATGTTTAGGCCGCTATGAGCAGTTTACGGGAAGAGGACGACCCTTATGTGGTCGAGGAGCCCAGCGATGAGGAGCCGGCCCTGAGCAGGTGAGACCCGCCTTGTTGTTCCTGGAAGGCAAACAAATCGAGGCGAAAAGAGAGCAGAGGTTTTTTTTAGACAATGGGCGCATCTACGTTGAAGAATTAACAGAGTTTGGCTCCGATTTAACTGCCCTGGCTCAGGGCTATGAAATCCTGGGAGCTGTAGTTTGTTCAGGCACCAGAACTCTGACAGAGAAGGCCAAAGACCTTGCAAAACTACAACTCCCGGGATTCCATAGCCTTGAGCTGTGGCAGTTAAAGTGGTGTCAAACTACGTTAATTCTACAGTGTGGAGCCAGATAATGATTTTGAAGTCGGCGGTGGGGAGTAAAGGGGAGAAGGTGGTGGTTATGGGGAAGGGGGTGCAGCCCTCTTTGAGTCTTCTTTAGGAGAGGGACACAGAGAAACACAATAATAATTCTGATATTTAAAAAGCTCATCCATGCTCGAGTTGGCCAAATAGTATTCAGTGTTTGTATCTTGTAAAACGGATCATGCCCCCCCCCCCCCCCAGAGTGAGGCCTAATGGGGAATTGTCAAGCTATTTTTGAAGGCTTTAATGGCTGGAATCACTGGGTTGTTGTAGGTTTTTCGGGCTATATGGCCATGTTGTAGAAGCATTCTCTCCTCTGAGGATGCTTGCCATAGATGCAGGTGAAACGTCAGGAGAGAATGCTTCTAGAACATGGCCATATAGCCCAAAAAACCTACAACAACCCAATTGTCAAGCTATTCATATTTCTGTTTTGTACAGTGATGTCCTGGGAGGAGGTGACAACACTGCCCTAAACATTGTGATTCAATAAGTAAACAGCAATTAAATGCGTCTCAATAAATTGTTCAGCTTATTCATGAATTCAGTGTGTGGGTGGAATTTGTGTTGTTGCTGCTATATGCCCTCGAGTTGCTTCTGTATTAGGGTCACCAATAAATTGTCCTCGAGTTGCTTCTGTATTAGGGTCACCAATAAATAAGGGTCACCAACAATAAATTGTTCAGCTTATTCATGAATTCAGTGTGTGTGGGTGGAATTTGTGTTGTTGCTGCTATATGCCCTCGAGTTGCTTCTGTATTAGGGTCACCAATGGTGACCCAAAGGTGACCCTAATAGAGGTTTTTCTTGGCAAGATTTGTTCAGAAGAGGTTCGTCATTGCCTTCCTCTGAGGCTGAGAGAGTGTGGTGTGCCTGAGATCACCAAATGGGTTTACACAACTAAGCAGGGATTTGATTGTGTTTTTCAGAGTTATAGTCCTACACTCAAGTTACATTCACACTTATCCAGTGGCTTCCCATTTAAATAGAATAACTAGCTTGTTTAACCATTACCCCCCCCCCCCCCGCCCCGGTGAAACGTATCAGGTTTTTTTTAAAAAAAAAACAAACCCTGATTTTCTCATGAATCTAAACTGGTTTAACCTGACACATTTCAGGAGTGGGGGTGTTGACCCTTTAAGCACCCCACCCTCTGGCTACAGCCATAACAGCTAGTCAATTTAAGTATAGTGAATGAGTCTAAACACCCTGCCCTTTTATCCCCAAGCCAGCGATTAAGGGAGGATAGGGAGGGAGGTGACAGAGGTGTATACCAAATTCTGCACCACATCGGGAAAGTATCAGTATAAGATTTCAGGAAAACTATTCTGTCCAATCCCATCCTCATAACCACTTTATCTTTAGACCATGTTTTTGAAACATTTACAAATCTTTTTTGTTTTGGCGAACTTGCTCTACACATCTAGTCCCTAGGTGCATATGCACTGCAGAATTAATACAGTTTGACACTACTTGAACTGCCAATGTGATGGAATTGTGCGAGTTGTGGTTTGGTGAAACACCAGCACTCTTTGACAGAGAAATCTAAAGATTTCATAAAACTAAAACTCCTGTGATTCCATAGCATTGGGCAATCACAGTTAAAGTGGTATCAAACTGCATTGATTCTACAGTGTAGATGCACCTCCAGATGTCAGCATTCATCTGTATCCCCATTCATCATTTCAGATGCCCAAATCATCCAACTGTTATGTAGTCTGTATTAGGAAAAATGTCCAGTTAAGGATTATCTCGGAAACTGTTGATTAATCACTTGAACATGCCTTTTGAAATTAGACAAGGCAAAGAAAAATAGAAGCTGCCACCACAACAGGTTATGTAATTGAACTGTATGTACAGAGGCAATAGGAGTCATTTTTTAAAACTTATAGCTCAAAATAATCCCCTAGGTAATATGCGTAGCGGCTATGCTGGATGGAGGAGTCTGGGAATTTCAATGTCTTCAATGTTTCACTATCTTTAGCTCTGAAGATGAAGTGGATGTACTTTTACATGGCACTCCTGAACAGAAACGTAAACTTATCCGGGAATGTCTGACTGGGGAGAGTGAATCTTCCAGTGATGATGAGTTCCAAAAGGAAATGGAAGCTGAACTGACCAGCACCATGAAGAACATGGAGGGCAAGTGGAAATCACAGCTTCCTGGTAATTGTCTTTATCAGGTTGGCAGGAAAGAATTATCAGTATTGCTGTTTCCTTAATTCTGTGAGTTATTTCTTTAAGGATCTTACAGAAAGCAACACCTAGAAACTTCTGGGCAAAATGCTTCTCCATATAAAATAGTTTGGGTTTTAAGGTAAGTGAGGAGGAGTGAGATTATGGTACAGAAGAATAGCAAAGAAATCCCAGATAAGTGCCTTGAAATAATTAAATGTCCTATTTATTTTTCTTCCTATTGTTAAGTTTAAAGACACTATTTAATAAACCTTGACAGTTTGAATTTTCTTTCATTTATAAATGTCTTGCCTGAGGAATTTCAGATAAGTTTGTACCCAACACAAATGTTTCCCAACCATAGATCAGATATTATCTAGGTAATATAAATGTTTACTAATGTCTAGCTCCATCAGGCAAAATAATTTTATGACAATATTGCTAAGTTTAAATTTTTTTTTTATAACTACATTAAAGTTTTACACAGGCAGTTACTGATTTATGAAGCTAGAAGACTGCTTTGACAATACTCGGATCCTTTTGCACATTGCGGGGTGCTTATTGCTATTAAATACAAGTGTATTTTAATTTTTATGTATTGTATGCATCTTAGTTTTATATATGTAGTATTAACTACTATATTTGGTGTAAGTAGTGCCTTCAGCTTTCATTACCCCTTTCTCTGGGTGGGCACAAAGGTACCCCACCTTTCTATTTTCTACTTCTGAGTAAAAATCAGGTATTGCTATTGTGTTATAATCTAATAAGAGATGGGGAATTGTTTGACACCAGTGTTTTCTTGAACTGGAACTCCCACCGGCCATATGGTAGCTATTGGTAGGGTTGCTGGTGGTTGTAGTCCAACAACATGGTCACAAGTTGACTAGTCTTGGCCAAACAGGTTTGTTCACCTCAGAAGAAAATAATAATCTAGAAAAATATTTACAAAGCATTACAGTAATTTTAAGTAGCATTTCAGAGAAAATATTTCGATGCCTGATTCTTTTGCCTAACTGATATTTTGTAACAGAAGGCACATCAAATGCTGACCAGTCTGGAACTTCGTCCACAAACAATTACTATGATGACATTTATTTTGATTCTGATTCAGATGATGAAGACAAAGGAGGTAAATAACTTTTAATTATTCTGATATTGCAAGCTCTAAAAAGTGGTAAATTGGGCAGGAATAACATGAGGTACCATAGTTAGTTTTGCTGAATATCCAGAAAATGTATTTTTCGGACATAGGTGTCATCCAAGAAAGGAGATTAGAAGGATGAGATTAGGAATTGTGGATTCCACTGCTTCCCCTACCAAAGCACTACATTCAGCAAGTATTCAAGGAGTATTTGGAGGTGGATATGAGAATAATTGCAAAATCCCATAAAAAAACAAAAACAGGATACAGTGTTCCATTGCCACTTCGTTGTTTGGTTTATGCGGACTTGCTGTTTTGCGTTTTTTTAAAAAAATTGTATTTTAAAATAAATATGTATTGATTGGCGCTGGTGGAGGGAGACCGCTGAGGCTTTGTTGTTGGGGAAAGAGGAGAAGGAGAGGAGGCTGCCACCAAGAGCAAGGGAAGCTCCCGTCCGCGCCTCCTTCCTACTCCGGTGAACTCTCCCTCCCTCCGCCTTCCTGCCTGCCTGCGCCATGGGCCATGGTGATCAGTGAGGAGAATGAGCTGGTCTCCAAAGAGGTAAGCAGGTGGGCCCGAGGCCCAAAGGTGCTGGAGGCAGTGGGGACAGGGTTGGGAGGGTGAGTGTCACCTTCGGCAGAGAAGGCCTTGGCTGGGCAGGCGTGCTCTTTCCCTTCCTTCCTGCCTGAAGGCCTCACCTTTCCTCAGAGGCCTCGTGTGGAAGCGCTGGTGATTTAGGAAGGAGGGGGGAAGAGGGGAGGAGGAGCCAGGCGTCTGTATTTCATGGATTTTCACTTCTCATGGTGGGTCCTGGAACGGAACCCCTGCAATAAGTAAGGGAACACTGTAGTTTGCAATCTTGTACCCAGAGTCTAAACAAAGATTGTGTGTGTATATGTCATATGTTTATATGCACCTTTCTTGCTGTATCCCTTGGTTTAGAACATTATTTCTGCAGTAAATATTCTCCTCTTCCTCCATCATCATCTTCATTTTATTCATTAACATCCTGCTTATATCCAGTACTGGGATTCAGCATAAAATATTAATTAAAATATATTTGTTTTTATTATTAAAAACAAATATTAATAAAAACAAATACATCCAAAAACATCAGTAACTTTAATAGACTTAAATGTAAGTTTAATCTTAAAGTTATGGTTTAAATTTTGTGTACTAGGTTTCTGTCTAACACTTGGTTCCTGCTATAAATATATGTCATCCTGAATCAGAAACTGATATGCTCAGTTACAGCTGTAGTTTATGAGTGGTGCTGTGCTTCAAAAATATGCATTTGTATACTTTGATAACCGAAAAGGAACATTAACTTTTCAAGGGTGTGCATTTATTCTTCAAGAGTTTCTGTTTTTGGGCTACATATTCAAACTGTACATGTGTAAATTTGACAGCTGCACCAGAAACCAGGAAAAAAAAGAAACAGCAACAGCGCCGAATTCCAACTAATGATGAGTTGTTCTACGATCCTGAAGAAGACAAGAGAGATCAGGAATGGGTAGACAGGAAGAGAAGGAGGTAAGACTAAGTATTTGTTTGAATTATGGGGATAGCATAAACGGGTATTATACAAGTTGCTTAATTTCTTACTGTAACTACAGTAGCTTCACAGTAATTTTCGTAAACTGGAAGTTACCAAGGCACGTGTTACTATGGCCATATGTGATGTCTCTCGAAATGGATGCAGCAGGCACACTAGTGCAAACACACTCCTGTACCTCTGCTGAAACCTAAGCTTCCAGGTTCTGGGAGAGATGCCTTTTGGGGAAGCAGATCCTCACAAGTTATTGTGCCACCATGTCTGTATCAGTTTTATGATATATGCTGAAATAAGGGTAATGTGGCTAAAACAAGAAATTGTAATGTTTAAAACGCTTGGTTTTAAGTATGTTGTGAGGAAATGAATGCAGGTCTTCAGTCTTGGTATTTTGTTCAAATGGCCTTTTCATCAGGTGCTGATGAATTAAGTTTTGCTTTGCTCATGTTTCTTACTTTCAGTATCTGCAAACATTTCGGTAAAAATGTCTGTCCATCTTTCCCTAATCTGCATTCTTTCTTGTTGTAGGTATCACAGCTTAAGAAGTACTCTGTCAGAACAACAGCAAGCCCAACTTCCTGCCATTCCCAACAGTGATGCGGTCTTGAACTGTCCTGCTTGCATGACAACATTGTGCCTTGACTGTCAGAGGTAATTGCCTGCATGTTAAGCAATCTGTATTATTTTGGAATTTATTGATGGTGAAGGACAGTTCTTATTCATATTGTCACATTTCAATTTAAATGCACTCTTTTTGGGGTAGATTTCTATTTCATCAATCAGGGTATTAATCGCAGAATAAGAGAAACATTTTTTTCTCTATGTTTGTAAGACTAAGATAAAAGTTTGTCTGTCCAGAATTTGAGGACATTAAGTTTTTGTCCTACTACAGTCAACATGGAGTCAAAAAGCAAATTTTGTAAACTCTTAGGCCCCTTCTACACAGCTGTGTAAAATCCACATTATCTGCTTTGAACTGGGCTATATGTCAGTGTAGACTAAGATAATCTTCTTAAAATCAGATAATGTGTATTTTCTGCTTTGATAACCTGGAGTATCTGGCACTGTAGAAGGGGCCTTAGAATCCTACCACTAATTGTGAAGTGGAAGAGGAGAGAGGATTTCTTCCTTTGGAAATGTATCATTATATACCGTATTTGACCCCATTTTCAGACAATTAGTGATTGTCAAATCAGTTCACTTTTGTGCGTATAAAAAAAGGGATATAAAGACTTCCACTTTTAATAGGTTTTTATATTTGAAAATTTAGATCTCATTATTTTATAGTTAGAAACTTTGTTCTTATCTTATTGTTGCTAAACAGAAATTGAACTGATAAGGGGGGGGGCAAACACTATACAGTAGGTCTGCTTATTATGTGACCTCATTGAACTCTGTTTTATTTATACATGAAGAGGTTTGCATACTATAGAATCACTCTGGAGGACTTTGGAAGTGTGTAAAGAAATGTTCTCTAAGCCTCCATTGCGATTCTATGGTCACAGTTTTACTGGAAAATGGCCATAGGATTGCACTGGAGGTCTAGAAAGGACTCTTTCTAAAGGTATTTTTTAAGTTCTCCAGATTGATTCTGTGGCACACTTCAGCTGGAACCCTGAAGCAGTGCTCATTTCACGTAGGAAAAATAGGATTCTAGGTTATATGGAAACTGTATTATGTGAAGCATCCTGGAATAGATTTCTCTCATAATATGCAGTTCTACTATACCTTACCAGACCAGAAAAAGTTACTTTTGGGAGTTATAGCTCCCAAAGGTAATGTTTTCAAGCTCTGCAAGGGGCAGAGATTACTCTGGAAACCACTAAAGTTCTTTAGAGAGAAAGTAATAAAAATAGATACTAGTAGAATTGATCTCAGCATACTTGAGGAGATACAATACTAAGTCAACTTAAATCTATGTCAAATAAGCGAACTAGTCTGTAATATGTTGAGCTACTCCTTATCTTTCGTTGTATTGTCTTTCTTGAATGGAGAAATGCCTCTTTCTTGTTTGCATTTTCTGTATCTGGTCATTTCCTGGAAGCATGACTTGGACTGCTGCCCCTTTGAACTGCTCTGTCAGTATCAGATCATTGCATTTCTTCTTCCCTATTTTAAAGGCATGAATCATATAGAACTCAGTACAGAGCCATGTTTGTGATGAACTGCACTGTTGTCAAAGAAGAGATTTTGAAATACAAAGGTCCCTTGAACCTGAAGACAAAGAGAAAGCACAAGAAAATTAAACAGAGTAGTGAATCCACTGCTGGCCCAGAAAAACAGGAAGAGGAGGAAATATATCATCCAGTAAAATGTACTGAATGTTCAACAGAGGTGGCGGTTTTTGATAAGGATGAAGTATTTCATTTTTTCAATGTTCTGGCAAGCCATTGCTGAGACATAATTCCTACATTCAGTTTGTATTAAATATCCAAAACAGAGGTGTCCTGTTTATTTTAAGTGTCATTCGTTAAAAAATTCATTTATCTAGTGCGATGTGGAAATGTCCTCGCCTCTCTTTCTATCAGTAAACAAAGTGAACTTTACTTTTTGTACTTAATTATGTGTCATTTTCAAACTGTTGTTTACATGTACTGTAAATTAGCTTTTAAAATGTTATAATGTAAAGTAAATTTATGTCAAGATTTCATAGTCTGCATAATGGATGACTGCCATTAAATGGACAGTAGCATCACTAAACTCTGTTTGAGTTTGATTCTGTTCACTTTGTTATTTTCAAAATCCAGTGTACTTGTTCCTTGCGATGCCCTTATCTTAAGGCTGGCTCTTGCCCTTTAACATAAAAATATTATTGTCTTGACAGAGCACTTTCTTGCTTGTGCTATCTATGTATTTTACAAAAATCAAGCCACAAAAAGGCATTTTGATTCCTCACTTACATTAGATACACACCAAATGCTGTAGAATTTAAAGGTTATATAAAAATTGTGTGATCTAAACACACTTCTGGAAATAGAAATTAAAACCTTTATAAAACACCAGGTATTTTAAATGTATTGCTCTGATGGCTGTCATTATAATCTACAATATTTTACAACTTATTTTTTTCTTTAATTCCACACAGTTATTCTAGAACTGATTTTTTTTCTGTCTTTCTAGATTTGATATTAGATTATTAAATATTAGATTATTATGAAAGTTATATTAGATTATGAAAGTTAGCTTTTAGTCTAGCGCAGACCGTGCATCAGTATACTTCATTCTTGATTACTACCAATCTAAATAAAAGAAAAAGAATGAAGAGATCGCTTTTTATTGAAAAATAATAATTTTCTGCATGTGTTTACATCAGATTTTTAAAAAATGCCATTGAAGAAAAACAAAAGTGGAACATTGCTAAGGCATAAGAGTATTTTTTTTCTCCTTTACGTATATTGCCAAGAGGAGATACAATGGGATTAAAGAGCTACATTTAGAATGTAAAAATGCCCAGAATGCTGAAAAATTAGGAGTTATGAAAATGTGGCTCAATTTTCCTCTGTATTTTGAATTGTTTTCGTTAAATCGAAATATGAGGAACAATTTTACCATATCTTATGTTGGGGAATATTTCAACACTTGACAAATATTTTCAGTCATTGCCTTTTGCTGAAGGAAAACTAGAGGAATTTAGGAAAAACCAGAGGCATGGTAGAATTGCTTCCATGTGCTCTAAAGCAGGGCTTCTTAAATATTTTCTAGTTGCGATCCCTTTCCGCCAAAGAAATGTTTCTGTGACCCCAAGTATATCTATATATATAAATCTGTTAGGTTGGTTCAACGGGACAGCAAAACTCCACAACCCCCCAACGAAACTTAACCAAAATTCCCATGCCCATAACACAACTCACAAGGTACAAACATATCTACTCAAAATGAAAAACAACACAACAACACACTCACAAAACGGCAAAACAACAAAACTCAAAAAAACCCCCAACGAAACTTAACCAAAATTCCCATGCCCATAACACAACCCACAAGGTACAAACATATCTACTCAAAATGAAAAACAACACAACAACACACTCACAATACGGCAAAACAACTGAGCATGCGCATTGGCGCCCAGCCGCAAGTTCCCTGGCGCGCACACAGCCTTCCGGCCAACGTTCCCTCTGCGGAAGCCATGCCCACTCCAAGCCCCGCCGCACCGCTTCCCGCACACACACACCCCTGCCGCACGCACACACACAACCCCACGCTCCATCACTCCCCCCGCCGCACACACACACGCAACCCCACGCTCCATCACTCCCCCCACCGCCACACACACACACGCAACCCCCCTCCCCCCCCGCACACACACACGCAACCCCACGCTCCATCACCCCCCGCCCGCACACACACGCAACCCCACTCCCCCCCGCACACACACGCAACCCCACTCCCCCCCCGCCGCACACACACACGCAACCCACGCTCCATCACTCCCCCCGCCGCACACACACACGCAACCCCACGCTCCATCACTCCCCCCGCCGCACACACACACACAACCCCACGCTCCATCACTCCCCTGCCCCAATCTTACCTCCTTTTACTTCACGCCACCTCCAAACCCCCCCCCGCCCCTTCCTGCCCTGTCAAAATCCAGGAAAGACAGGAAGGAAGGAAAGAAGGAAGAAAGAGAAAGGGAGGTAAAGAAAAAGGGGGAAGGAAGGAAAGTTAGAGAAAGAAGGAAGAAGAAAAGGAAAGATGGAAGGAAAGAAAAGAGAGACAGCAGAAGAGAAAGAAAAAGGGGGAAGGAAGGAAAGAGGTAGAGAAGGAAGAAATGAGAGACAGAGGGAGGGAAAGAAAAAGGGGGAAGGAAGGAAGGAGAGAAGGAAGAAAAAAGGGAATGAAGGAAGGAAAGAGGGAGTGAAGGAAGGGCAAAGATGTAGGGAAAGCGGGAGGGAAGGAAAGAAGGAAAGAGAGAAGGAAGAAAAGAGACCAGAAGAGAAAGAAAAAGGGGGAAGGAAGGAAAGAGATAGAGAAGGAAGAGGAGAAAGAAAGATGGGAAGGAAGGAAGGAAGGAAGGAAGGAAGGAAGGAGGGAGGGAGGCAAAGGAGAGAAAGAGGGAAGGTTGGCCACAGCAACACGTGGCGGGTAAAGGTTGTTATTTCTATTATTATTATGCTATTATTCCTATTAGACCCTGGGGGAATGGGAGAGGTGTCAGGTCCCAGAGGCAATGCATTGCATTATTGTTATTGTTATGATGGTGGTGAAATAAAAGGAAATAAAAAGTGAAAGAAGGAAGCAAACAGGGAGGGAAGAAAGGCAAAGGAAGAAAGGGGGAGGGAATGAAGGAAAGAGAGAAGGATGAAACAAAGTAGTGAAAGAAGGAAAGAAAGAAAGAGGTAGAGAAGGAAGAAAGGAGAGAAAGGGGGAGGAAAAGGGGGAAGGAATAGGTAGGTACCTCTCTTTCATAATAGTCCAGATATCTAACTCAACTTTGATAAGTTTAACTATAGGCCACAGCAACGCGTGGCAGGGCACAGCTAGTAGGTATATAAAATGGGTATACAAACCAAACATTTACTGGTAATAAATCAGCATTTGCAAGGCTTGCTAAACAGAAGGACAGCGGAAGCATTTTCTGCAGAGTTCACTGTAAATACTGTACGTTGGAAGAGGGAACGGGCCCTGGAGATTAGACCAAGGAGTTCAAATTACTGGAAACAAGATTCCACCTGAACATTAGGAAGAACTTCCTGACTGTACAAGCTGTTCAGCAATAGAACTCTTTGCCTCGGAGTATGGTGAAAGCTCCTTTCTTGGAGGCTTTTAAACAGAGGCTGGGTGGCCATCTGTCAGGGGTGCTTTGATTGTGCTTTCCCTGCATGGCAGGGGGTTGGACTAAATGGCCCATGTGGTCTCTTCCAACTCTGATTTTGGGTAAATGGTGACATTCAGAAATTTTTACTGTTGTTAGATTTTTCATGACTCCAACTTTGAGCTGATGGGACCCCATTTGGGGTTGGGACCCACAGTTTAAGCAGTGATCTGAGGATATATGAGGGCACTGAGTTAAAACAACAATTTTAAAAAGTGAGTGGTTCTCAAATTAGGTAAGCCATCTACCTCCCCTCTTCTTTCCCAAGCAGATGAGCCCCAAACTCTCCTGCGAGTTGTTCAATGTCATTTCAGTTGTCCTTTTCAACCTTTGTTCCAGATCACTTCAGTGGCATTGGTAGCTGACACTGAAGGAGGAAGTGACAGCAAAATGACTGTCATTTAAAACCCTTGTGCAGCGTTTCAGTGGAAAGTATGTTTCATAAAAACATCCCTGTGGTTACACAATACATTTTCTGTAAGTTCAGTTTCTGTACTGTTCCAATATACCAGCAAGGCTAAAACTCTATGCTAATTTTTCTTTTTGAACCTTCAAAAGCTTATGTGCTGCGGCCGAGATGTCATTGTTATCCAACTGCAACAATGCTTCCTATTTATTGTACTTTTATCTATTTATGCTATCAATAAACTAAAAACAATGCCAATTTAAAACAATGTGAATACATTAAAATGTACATTTAAAATTTAAAAACACACCATTAATGTTACAAAAACATTTAAATATTAAAATGAATGAAGTTGTTTCATCTGCATAGCACATGCAGATGAAATGACGGCATTCATTGTAATATTTAAATATTAAAATAACACGTGCTGTTTGCTTCTTAATAGTAGCTGGTTATGCCAATTTTCTGGTACTTTGCCCACAATGTGTGGCATGAGAGGAGGTTCATGTGCGTGACACCATACAATCTACATTTATAATATAATTAATGCAGTTTAACACCTCTTTAACTGCCATGGCTCAATGCTGTGGAATCATGGGAGCTGTAGTTTTACAAACCTTCTCTGCCAAATGGTGCTGATGCCTCACCAAACTATAAACCCCATAGCATAGCACCATGGCGGCTAAAATTGTGTCCAACCACATTAATTCTACAGCATCTAGATCAGGCATGAGCAAACTTTGGCCCTCCCTCCAGGTGTTTTGGATTTCAACTCCCACAATTCCTAACAGCTGGTCAGGAATTCCCCAGTTTTTTTAATGTTGCTCTTTATTTACTGTCCTGATTTTAGAGGTTTTTTCCAATACTGGTAGCCAGTTGTTCATTTTCATGGTTCACAGAAAGGAAGAAACTATGAAAATGAACAAAATCCGGCTACCGGTATTTTAAAAACCCTAAAATCAGGTCAGTAAATTAAAGAGCATCACTCAAAAAACGGGAGTTTTTGACATGAAACAATCAGGGCCAGCTAACACCTCCCAATAAAGGATTCCCCCAGGCAGCAACCAGCCTGGTTTCAAAGCTACAAGGCCATTAGTGCTAATCAAGGTGGCCAGTTATTTATTTATTTGAGACATTTCTATACTTCCCTTTTAACCCCTTCTCACAAGGTATATCTACATACACTATATTATATTATTAGTATATTACAATATCAGTATTAAGCATTACTATATTGTACTATACAATACAAAATATTACTATATTGTACTATACAGCTGCAACATTCACACTTGCCTCAAGCAGACAAAGGGTTTTTTCTCCCATCTGTACATTCCACAGATATATAAACCTCATTTGCCTAGTTTCAAACAGACCTCACAACCTCTGAGGATGCCTGTCATAGATGTGGACGAAACGTCAGGAGAGAATGCTTTTGGAACATGGCCATACAGCCTGGAAAACTCACAGCAACCC